CCCAGGTTGTTTGCATGATAAGTAGCTGGGAATTGTGTGAGCCTTTCAAGAAACAGCCCTGAGTTAATTGTAGCAGCCTGAGCTAATGGTTTCCCATGTTGGCTGGCAGGTTACGGTGAAGAAGAGGCTGGAAAACACCCTTTATCACAAGTACCATGCATTTGAAAAGCTGAAATCTTACAAATGTTGGCTTCCTGGAAGATATTTTCCCTTGCACTATAAATGGGTGCGAAAAAACGTCCCGTCCCGTCCCCCCTCCCCCCCGAGATGGGACTGGCCTCTTCACAGCTAGCTCTGGACGTTGGCTCCTGGAGGAGTTCAGGGAACGTTTTTGTTTTTGTTTCTGCCAATGGCTCACACTAATTTGCCCCCGCCCGACCCCCCCCCCCGCCTTTTCTTTCTAAGTTAAGTCAGCATTCAAGATTAAACTGCTCTCTGCAAGCCAACAACTAGAAACATTGCTTTTAGGAAAAGTAAGGTCTGCTTCCTAAAATTTCCTGATTTTGTGTGTGTGTGTGTGTGTGTGTGTGTGTGTGTGTGTGTGTGTTTAAGGCACACATCACATTTATCCTGGAGTTTGTTAATACAAAAACACGTCCAAGTAGCAAGTCCAAAATGGGTTTTCTGCTGCGGATAAAGGTTCCCTGGAATACCGTTCACTTTGCGGGGAGGGAACTAGAACCTTCTGCACTGTGCCCGCAGGGGACAGAGAGGGCTGTGTGAGATTTTTACCTAGACGAAGGCATGGGAACGTGCTGGGAGCCAATCCCGGTTGGGGCAGAACAAAGATGCGCTCTTTCCCGTGTTACTGCGACTACCCATAAAACTCAGGAAGTTTCCAGGGAGGGGAGCAAGTTCCTGCTGGGAAGAAGGCTGTATGTGAAGGGAGAAACAGAAGCACCTGCTTTCCTCTCTACCATTTGCCCTGCTTGGCCAGTGCCCTCCTGTCTTTCCGATCAGTCAGTCGATTAATCGATTACAGCTCAAACACAGAACATCACTTTCTCCGGGAAGCCCTTTCTGATCCACATCCCAGGGAGTCTCGGGCTCTCTCACCACGTTATTTCGTAGCATTTGCAGTTATGATTCTGCGTTTTTTTCATATGGTCAGAATATTTCTCCCTCTCTCTCTCTCTCTCCCCACAAAAGTTGGACCTCCCATGAGTACATAAGGCTCTTGTCTGTTCTTTATATGCCATTAGAATCTCAGTAGCTCATTTCTCAGAAAGTACGTGCCGAATGGATGGGTGGATGAAGAATACAGTCGTTTAAAGTATCTCTGGCAGAGGACCTCGGGGTGAGGTCTTGGTTTAACTGATGGCGACACAGAATGAGTTTCAAGGCTTGTGAAAAGCAGGAAAGAGGGAGAAAATAATCATGAGCCTGGAAAGTATAGAGATGCATGGAAGCAGAAGTTTGTGTGTGTGTGTGTGTGTGTGTGTGTGTGTGTGTGTGTCAGAGAGAGAGAGAGAGAGAGAGAGATAGTCCGTGTAAGCCCTGGGCTGTAAAGATGAGAAAGAATGAATTTTGAATGGTTTTCCCAGGAAGCAGAAGACTGACTAGATGGGCCAGGAATGGTGGATGGCAGACTGAGTTGGGTAGTTTACAGAGGTGTAGGCAGGGATGGGAGAAGCCAGAAGATAGACCAGTCACTAGGGACCAGCAGTCAGGTCACCATTACCCACACCCCCCTACCCCCCACTGCGAAGGAGCACGGAGTGAGGGGGCAGCTTTACTAAGAGCTCCAGCCCTAGAAGGGGACCGCAGACCAGAAGGGTGGCTGCTGCAGGGTCGTGCTAAAGCAAGGAGAGAACCAGAGAAGAAACCCACCAGCTTCTCTCCCTCTCCTGACCCCTGACCTGCAGCCAGCGCCTCCATCGGCCAAACCCAACGGGAAACCCAAAGTCAAGGGAGCCACCATGATGTGGTATGTGGAGATCAGCCCCCCGCCCTGCAAACCAGAGTATAATAGAGTGACATTGACTATTTAGGACTGTGACAAAGGGTCTTTAAATGTCTGTAGTTTTACTCCTTACCTTTTCTACTTTTTATTTTGAATATGTATTTTAACTGCCAGTACAGCCAACTCTGTATACCCTAAGAAATCTGGCCTCTCTCTCCCATCTTCTCCTCTCCCCTCTTTCCCATATAGGTTACTACTTTTATCTGCTTCTCATGTCTTCTCCTAGGTACAGGTGTGTGTGTGTGTGTGTGTGTGTGTGTGTGTGTGTGTCCCCAAATCATATCCCTGTCTATATACCTTATATCCCTCTCTCTATATGAAAGATAGTGTATTACATACACATATACTCTTCTGCCTCTAGCCCATTAGTTTATATACACATACTGGTATCTCTGTGGGGAAAATTCCCAGAGGTGGGCATGTTGGTCAGTTTTCCCAAATTGCCCTCGGAAGGGGCAGCACAGTTCGGTAACTCCAAGCGATACTGTAGGAGAGCGTTTCCGTGCAACCTTGCTGGAAGAGTATGTCACTCAGCTCTTGGCATTTTGCCCATCTGATGGTGAAAAACTATCATTTCATCATATTGGGTGAAAGCACATGGAATTGCAATTTATGTGGCCAGAAGTGGTAGGCCATCAGCACTTTCATACGGTTCAACTTAACAGCTTTATTTTGTATTTTTCTTGCTAGTGAAACAAAATGGCTTTTGATGGAGCTCAGCTACCCTTGTCTTCCTTTTTTATTCTGAACATGCTGTTGACCTTGGTGTATTTTTCTATTGCTGGTCTTCTTCTTATCAATTTTTAGGAGCCCTTTGTACATTCAGGAGAAGAATCTCTTGCGAGAGTGAGTTTTAGATATTTTTTTTCCGAATTTGTTTGTCCAACTTTGCTTTTAATTACTTTTTTCCTTTATGACACGGATTCTTTTTTTTTTTAAGGTTTTATTTATTTGACAGAGAACACAAGCAGGCAGAGAGGCAGGCAGAGAGAGAGAAAGGGGGGGGAAGGGAAGCAGGCTCCCTGCTGAGCAGAGAGCCCGATGCGGGGCTCGATCCCAGGACCCTGGGACCATGACCTGAGCTGAAGACAGAGGCTTTAACCCACTGAGCCACCAGGCGCCCCAACATGCAGATTCTTAAGTCATGTCAATTCACCTCTACTCCAAAGACATGAAGGAATTCTATTGGGGATTTTTTTTTCCTAGAGCTTTAATGGTTTTGTTTGTTGCCTTTAAATTTTGGATCCATTAGGAGTTTATCCCAATTTGAGATAGAGAAACCACTTTTTCTCTTTCCATATGGCTATTTGGTTGTTCCAACACCATGGTTCAATAATTCCATCCGTAGCCCTACTGATTACGGATATCACTGAGACCGTATACTAATTGGCAAGATCAGCTTTTGAGTCCTGCTATGTATTTGAACTTTCTGGCTGGAAATATATATACACACACACACACATATATATGGTGACATTCCTTAAAATATCTTTGTATATGTGAAATTAGTAGTTTTGAAAAAAAAAAATGAATACGTGTTCACGGAACAAAATATAGACAAACAAAACTTGGACCACGAAATGATCCTAATTCTACAATTTCCTAGTGTTACTGTTTTCTGTGTATTAGTAGCCACGTGCACACACCTCAGGTAAAGAATAAGCTGCTGTAACAGCCATGTCAGTACGATATAGTGGCTTCTGCAACACAGAACGGTATTTCTGTTTCATAAAGCAGCCCCTGAGTGAGTGGTCTTGGGTCTAGCTTAGAAAGGGAGGTCTCTTCTTCATGGGGGTCATTCTTCTTTTTTTTTTTTTCTTTCCTTTTAAGGTTTAATTTATACACAGTAAACTACGACTTTTTATGTAACCAGTTCTATGAGTTTTGACAAACATATATGGTGTAACCACTATCACGGTCAAAACATTAAATGTTCCCACTACGGTGAATAGTTCCCTCCCACTAAGTACACCGCCAGCACACCCAGCCCCTGACAATCACGGATCTAAATTCTGTCCCTAATGGTTTTTGCCTTGTCGCGGGACCCTTCTTGGCCCACTCTGTCTCCGTCTTATCTCTCCCCTATGCTCTGCAGATCCTTATCCCCATGGTCATGGTCAGGGCATGGGCTACACGTCAGGAAGGAGAGGGGCATTAACACGCATCGATGTGTTTGCAGAGCTGGAGGGGGGATACATCACTTGGGCTCGAATTCCATTAGTGAGAACGCAGCAACATGCCCACCTAGCCCAGAAACAGACTCGCTTAGCGTTGAAGAAAGGGAATGTGAATGCCGGCAGACTCCTCTCGCCATTGCCCCTGCAGCCTGGCCACCCACGTAAACGCAGAGAACACACCCTCTCCCCGAGGGAGACAGCCCAAGCCCCATCCAGTCACTACACGCAACTCAAAGGCCAGGATTTCTGGGTGATGGCAGGTCTTGCCCGATAGATGCTGAGGGGGCTCCCCGTGGTTCTAGGGACCTCAGAACTGACACACAAGCTGTTCGTATCTCCCCTGCCCAGCAATTCCCCAGGATTATGGTTTCTTCAGGAACGGATGGGACTGCCATTCCGTGGGCCAGGAACCACATCCCGGTTCCATCTCTGTGCACAGTCCTGGCTGATTTTGTGGCCTCCAGCTACACTCCTCCCATCTCCCCATTTCAAAAGCCGCTACTTTGGGGTTCCCTGGAAAGGTGAGTTTAGGAAGGATGGCGGTAAACCTGATCTCTGCCCTGAGGCTGAACCTCTTTCTTTGGCCTTCTGGGAGCCCATTGGGAAAGGCTGTGAATACCTACAGCCTAACCTCCTCCTCCTGGCAGTACCGGGCCTCGCCACCCAGTCTTCTCAACCCTTTCCTTCCATCTCCGCTCGTAAACCGGCCAACTCTCGCATGAGCTCATCTCCTTCCTGTAGTGGCTTGCCAGAAGTTGGTTCCTTACTCCATGTGCGTTATCCCTAAATATATTTAATTATATTATTATAGTTATTTTAATAGAAAACTGTTAAGTAATCTTCTACCACCTAATTTTCAGGATTACGTGAGGCAGGTGTGAATGAATTCCTTAAGAAGCAGACCTGTGAAATCAACCCTGTAGTGAAATGTCACGAGCCCTCCTCCCCGCCCCCAAAATGCAGCTCTGCCTGCCACACTGCCAGGTGGGTGCACCAGAGGCTTGGGTGGACACAGGCGGCGTCCAGCATTTACCAAGTCTTCTTGATTAGAGATACTCTTATAGTAGCTGAGGTGAGCTGTCACAACACAGAGGATGTAAATGTCCTGTGAGCCAGAAAGTTCCAACTGAAAGCTTTCAGAGGACGATGACCATTCCGCGCACATGGAAACATACACGTGGTAGACTTCTTTGTAAATATCAAAGCTGTCCTTCCAGAAAGGCTAATTAAATAGAAAACGTATGCCCAGTCCAGTGGCAAAAAAGAAACAATCCAAAGCACTTCTCTTTCCCCAAATGTTCTGGCCGTGGGTAGTTGTATAGGCACATTCTTTTAAACTTCCCAGGAAAAAGAATTCCTGTGTTATATACGCTGTTTCAGAATTCAGAAAAAAGAAGGAAGGCATCTCACTTCACTGTGTGAAGTTGGAATGACTCTGATGTCAGAACCCAACAAAGATGATATATATGCCGAATGTCAAAACTAAAAAGGCATTTAATAAAAGTCAGTGTCTGTTCTCAGTTTGAAATTAAAAAAAAAAAAAAAAGCACACAGCAAAGGAAGTCATCAACAAAATGAAAAGGCAGCCTACAGAATGGGGAAAAATGATTGCAAACCATGTGTCTGATAAGGGACTGATATCCAAAATATATGAAGGATTCCACTCAGTAGGAAAAAAACCCCAAACAATTCAATTAAAAATGGGCAGAAGATCTGGATAGACATTTTTCCAAAGAAGACATGCAGGTGGCCAACAGGCGTATGAGAAGATGCTCAGCATCGCTCATCGTCAGGGAAATGCAGGTCAAAACCCTATGAGATACCACCTCACACCTGGTAGATGAGCTGATATCAAAAAGAGAAGAGACCAGTGTTGACAAGGATGTGGAGAAAGGGCACCCTGCTGCTCGGTTGGGAGGAATGTAAATTGTTGTGACTGCTATCGAAAATAGCATGGAGGTTCCTCAAAAAATTAAAAAATGAACTACCATAGGCTCCAACAGTTCCACTTCTGGGATTTATCTGAATACAATGAAAACACTAATTCAAAAGGAAATGTGCACCCCCATGTTCATTGCCGCATTATTTACAACATGTTCGTGTGCAAATGGAATAGTATCCAGCTATAAAAAATAATGAAACCTTGTCATTTATGGCAACATGGATGAACCTGGAGGGTGTTACACTAAGTGAAATAAGTCAGCCAGAGAAAGACAAATACCATATGATATTTCGTGTGTGGGTTCTTTTTATTTTATTTATTTATTTATTTGATAGAGGGAGACGGCAAGAGAGGAAACACAAGCAGGGGGAATGGAAGAGGGGGAAGCAGGCTTCCCGTGGAGAAGGGAGCCCAGTGCGGGGCTCGATCCCAGGACCCTGGGACTATGACCTGAGCTGAAGGCAGATGCTTAACAACTGAGTCACCCAGGTGCCCCTCGTGTGTGGATTCTTAAACAAAATAAAACATAAAAAAGCTCATCGATAAAGAGAACAGATTGGTGGTTGCAAGAGCTGGGGGCTGGAAGAGATGATGGGTGAACTGTTTTTTTCTTTTTTAAGTTTAAAGTACAATGTAAAAATTAAGAAACACTCTTGAAAGCCATGAAAGAAAAATAATTCACTCGAGATATATTTCTTGTTCATGACCAAAAGGCACAATATTATCAAGATACCAGTTCTTAAATTGATCTGAAGATCCAATGCGATCCTCATAGAAATCTCAGCAAGCTGTTTTGTAAATAGTGACAAACTTGTGTTAAACACTGAGTCACATCGGCAGTTACTGACGAAGGACAAGTCAGTGAACTCACACTTGCCCGTTTCAAGATTTATTATAAAGCCACGATAATTAAGAGAGCATGATGTTTTGAAAAGAATGAACACATAGATAAATGGAACAGAACAGAGTGTCCGTGAACAGATCTACACAGATACAGTTAACGTGACCTGGGTCAAAGGAATAAAAGCACATCAACGCAGAAAAAATCATTTGTTTAGTTTTTGGTCTTTAGTCATCATCAGCAAATGAGGGTACAAATGGACAACCATAGGAATTTTTTACACAAACTTTGCACCTTAGATACAAATTCACTCAAAAGTACTCATTGCCTTAAATATAAAGTGCAAAACTATAAAAATTATGGTGGGGGACTTAGAAAATCTACATGGGTTAAAGTTCGGTGATTGATTTTCCTATACGACACAGAAACCATGATCCATGAAAAAAATGACAGTATGAACTTGAATTAATTTATATTGTCCGCTCTGTAAAAGACTGCATTCAAGGAATGGAAAGGCAAGCCACTGGCTAGGAGACTATGTCTTCAAAACACTTATCTGAAGAAAGATTTGCATGAAATGTATACAAAGAACTAGTAGAACGCCACAATAAGAAACTAGACTTCCCAAGTTAAATAGGCCAAGACAAGTAGATACCTAACCAAATATATAAATGGGAAAAAACCATGTATAAATTGCTCAAAATTGGGGAATTATTGGAAAACAGTATATATTGCACGGTAGGGAAAAGCACATTAAAAAAATAAAGATTTTTTTTAAAAAGCAGCTCTTCGGGGCACCTGGGTGGCTCAGTGGGTTAAAGCCTCTGCCTTCGGCTCGGGTCATGATCCCAGGGTCCTGGGATCGAGCCCCGCATCAGGCTCTCTGCTCAGCGGAGAGCCTGCTTCCGTCCCTCTCTCTATCTGCCTGCCTCTCTGCCTACTTGTGATCTCTGTCTCTCAAATAAACAAATGAAATCTTTAAAAAAAAAAAAAAACAGCTCTTCAAGCTAGGAATTAAAGATGATATCATACCCAGTAATAACTATTGCAGACTAAATGCTGCTGTCTTGCTTGATGGTAAAAATTTACAAGATCAGATCAAGGACAAAATAAGAATGTCCCCTTTCACTGCTGATGCCCATCATTCATCTCTACAGTGTGCAAATAAGTAAATTAATAAGGTGGAATCAGACTTAGCATGTTTGTGAACATTTGTAAGACTCTACCTGGCAAATTCAGGAGAATCCACTAAAAACCAGAAAGAAAGTCAAGTCCTTTGCCAGTTGTAAGACAAATACACAAAAAGTGGTTCTCACAGTCACCCCTAACCAGTTAGAAAATGTCACAGAGAACAGAGAGGGCACGTTGACGGTGGCTCCAGGGACACCTGGGTGACTCAGTCGGTTGGGGATCCAACTCGATCTCGGCTCAGGTCTTGATCTTCAGGGTCGTGACTTCAAGCCCCACATATGGAGCCTACTTAAAACCCTGCAAACAACAAACCAATAGCTACAAAAACTCAACAAGAAGTAGGGGACCTTGAAGAAAACTAAAACACTACTCAAGTTCAAGACCCAACTGTAGCTAAAGCAAAAGCAAAGGAGGGATGCTCCCCGGAGCTGGAACTGGGAGTGGGGAGGTCATACCCAGAAGAATTGCAGGTCGTAACTAGAGGAACTGATACCTTACGAAGCGGAACAGGATCCTTGGCACCCCCAGGACTGTTTGTGTTAGGACCCCAGGGCACAGGTGTTGGGAGTACGTACAGCTCCAAACCCACGAGCTTGCCAGTCAGGGTCACAGTCATCACAGAGTCATATATTTAGGGCAGCAGTTTTAGGATATGCAAGAAGTAATTGTTTCTGATACATACACAGGCACGGCGGGGTTAGTGGTGGGGCTGTGCACCCTTCCTCCTTTATCATCTCTGCGTCGGCATCCTGCTTTCCTGCCACAGACTGTCTTCTCATGGTGGAGAGCACCGCACCGGGCAGCCGCACGTTCAAGTCCGTCTTCCTCTGTGGAAGGATTCCTTCCTTAACAACAATCAGGAGGGTCGTGGGAAAGGTTCCTTTGGGTCCCAGCGGGGTCTTGCATCCATCTATGAAACATGAGTGCCTGCGTTTGGCTTAGCCCCTGGTCAAAGGTGCAGGCAAGCTGTTTTTTCAGCTATTTTATGCAGGTTGCTTGGGTGATAGTGGGTAGGAAAAATTATAGCTACAGACAGAAGATTTGAATAAATGTAGAGATGTGCCATTTTCCTTGATAGGCTGGCCCAAAGTGTCGAGATGTAGATTCCCCCCCCAAGTTAGTTTATAAATTTCACACTCTGATTCAGAATCCCAGAGGGAGTTTGAGGGCTCCTTGTCGTCACACTTCTAAAGTTCATCAGAGTAGCAGACATACGTAGTGAGATTAGCTCAGAAAATTCTGCCCAGGGTCAGGAAGCCAGCTTAATGTGTGTATTTTTCATCTTGGTATTAGTTTATCATCTGTCCTAGGCTTAAAATAAGACCCAATGTTGACACCTGATTTTTAAGGCTTTTCTCCTAGAACAGTTTTTATATAAGTCAGGGAACTAGGAGCTGGGTATTCAGAGATCTAACATCTGATATTTTAATGCCACTCAGATTATTTTGAGTGCTGGCTCTCCACTAGGTGTGTGAGGTTTCCTTAGACATAGAAGGCGTACTCCCTTCCCACCTATTACTATACTCAGCTTTTCCAGCCAAAGACAGGCATTAGACATTATGAGTTATCATTCCATATGATTCGGGGAATCGGTTTGCCAACATGAAAAGAGCCGGAAGAAGGTACAAATGATCTGATCGGAAACTACAAGTATACAAAAGAAAGTGGGGGTTGGCTGATGGAGATCTGTAGTTACTGCACATCCCTGGGAGAGATGTGGATGACATAGGTTTTAAATATCAGGACCTCTGTTCAGTAGTAGTAAGAACCTGGAGTTGTACAGAATTTTCAAAGATGCCAGAGATGGCTTAAGAGAGAGCACATGCTGACCACCTCGCCAATGGAGGAATGAAGAGATGGAGAGGAGGGGCACCTGGGTGGCTCATTCGGTGAAGCCTCTGCCTTCAGCTCAGGTCATGATCCCAGAGTCCTGGGATCCAACCCCGAGTCCGGCTCCCTGCTGGACAGGGAGTCTGCTTCTCCCTCTGCCCTTCCCCCAACTCTTGCTTGCTTGCTCCCTCTCTCTCTTTCTCTAAAATAAATAAAATCTAAAAAAAAAAAAAAAAAAAAGGACAGAGAGGAAATGTCAGTTTAAAAAAAATAGTAGTTGCATGGGAAGTAAATGCAGGTTAGAAAAAGCGACATTTGTGAT